GGTGCTATGGGAAATAAAACCTCTATAAGCATCAAAGTTAGAACATTCAGGTTCTAAGACATGATATGCATGGAGAACTTCGGGTTTTTCATGTGTGTATTGTTTTATGAAAACCTAAATCAACTACACTAAAGATGAACAAACTCACTTTAGCACAATGTTAAGAGCATGCTGATAACACGTTCAGGCCTATTTGATTGATGGATTATAGAGAGATTGAGAGAGGATGCGGCAAGCTTAGAGAGAATTGAGGGCGTTCTAAGGTGCATTTTCTTACCCATTGTGTCTTTATTTATGGTAGTAGGGAAGGTTAATTCCTTACACTAATAGGATTACAACTCTAATTGTGAAATCTTGTTCTTGGATTTCATTGTTATAATCTATGTATTTGTATTATTGAGATTTTATATTATTTTTCAAGAATTTATATTAATTTATTTGAATTTAGATTTTAATTATACTAGTTAAGAAGTTTGAAGTTTGGAAAGTAATTATTTAAAATCAATAGACCTTTCGAGGTCACAATTTATATTTTCAAATAGAGCTTGATCACATGAACGCGTAGACGTAAACCGTTCGTGAAACGAAGTTATAACAAAAGAGTTATTAACGTATAAAGTTAGGGACATTTTGTAATTTTGGCCCTCATTTACAAGACTCCAGAAAATGTGGAGTCTGAGATGTGTCACGTTTGTGTCTGGGATGAAAGGAAAAGAAGATAATTGAGAAAGATGGACGGATGTGATGGAAAGGAAATAAGAGAAATGAGAGAGAGAAAAGGGGGAAGGGATGAATCAGAAAGAGAGTAAGGAGGGGAAATGAGGGGGGAGAGAATGAGGGAATCAGATTTTCCCCCTTGAATTGGTTCATGACCCAACTTCAGACCGATTTCTGCACGGTTTCCGTCACGATTTCAGCCATTTTTTCGGTGAATCACGACCATCCACCACTACCATTCATCATCCCGACCTCCTCTCTTCCTTTCCTATCCAAACCCGACCGGGTTTGACCCCAAATTTGTAAAGAACCGCACCAACAGGTCCGACGGACACCCCGACGACAATCCGCAGTTTCGACAACCCTCACCGTCGATAACCACCATTAAACTACTCCTCTTGAGGCAGGGAACAAAGCCCAAACAACTTTGGAGGTGGTGGAGCACCAGAGATGACATATCGAAGCCACCCATTTCTAGGTTTTTTGCAGGTTCGTGGCGATTTGAGGCTTTTCCTGTCCAAATTAGCCTTGGTCATAGGTATGAAACTTGCTCCACTTATTGAGATCTACATGCCTATAAAATTTGGTAATTTTTGGAAATAGTTAAATTTTCCTACGAGTCGGGGCGACCGACTGCCACCTGTGGCGGCACGTGGCCAGTGGGCCGACAATGCCTTTATAAGTAAAATTGGATGCCATGATTTCAGATTTGATACCCACTTGATGAAATTTGATTGTTTAAACCTATTTTCATTATAATACGCCACTTGATAATAATATGAATCGACGATCTGACTGTTGGATCGTCACCGAACTTTAATACATTATATCACATAATATTTAAGAATAATACGAACTTACGGATCGGGGATCTGACGTATAGATCTTCCCGAATTGAATTTCTCAGTTTGTAAAATCAAACGTTGGCCACCACTTGAATTTATAATTGACGGAGATCCGACCGTCGGATCGCGATGAAATTTTAGTATATTATTCTAGAAGTATAATGTGGACTTTAGAAAGTTACGGATCCAAAATCCAATGTGCGGATCTTCCAGATCGAATTACGTGGGGTTGTGGACCCTACCGTTGACTAAGAGTTGACTTTTAGTCAACATGTCTCGAAACGTTCTAAATACTAAATTTAGTACTACGGGATACTAAGTGAAGTCTAGTGGGCCTACATTGGTTAGAGAGTGACTTGAATATATGTGATATGGTTATTACCTTGATTTCTTATATTAATATCATTTGTGAATGTGACTTGGTTTTATAAATGTGATCTTTATTGAAATGGGATTTTTATATATTTAGCCATAGACCTATGTTTATTAAACATGATTTGGCATGTGTACTAATGATAATTGTGATATGTGATTTGACATGCATATTTGAATGTGGTTTGATTTGCACAATTGATATGATGCGATGAAATGTGAGGGCTAGTAGTAGACCGTAACCCATTGCTGTGGGGTTTGTTGCTTCAAAACTCATTTCCATATCCCGTTTCATTGTTTCATTTCTTGTTCGTTGGCCCGTTCTAAATTAATACTTGTGCTTTGTTTAATTTTGTTGAGCCTTTGTAAATTGAGCACTTGATTCATGTTTTGTTTCTTTGAGCTGTTGATATGTTCCTTGGCCCTCCGCTCAGTTCCGTTGAGTGATCTGGTTCCCTACTTCATCTGGATTCCGTTGAGAAGTTCGGAATCCCTTCTACTTCGCGGTATCGTTGAGTGGTCCAGAATCGTATCTTAGTTTGAATTTCGTTGAGTGGTCCGAAATGCCTCTTGGTGTTTTGGTTCTGTTGAGTGTTCTGGAACTCGATGTTGTTGGATTTCGTTGAGTGGTTTGAAATCCCATTTTTCAAAGATGTAGGCTTTGGGCGAACCGTGTTGCTCTAGCCCCGCATTTCGGTGTTTTGTATTTGTTATTGATGATGTGATTATGGAATGATGTTGGTTGTGATTGTTGGCATTATGATTAGACTTGTTGATCAATATGGTTAGAGAATATGATTGTGCTTTGTCGTTTGTTCTTTGAAATATTGCATGATATGCATTGTGGTATACTGTTGAGACATAACGATTTATGTGATGAATGTTTGAGTGTAGTGATATGGTGAACTACGAATGGCTTGATCCCTATTTAGGGTATGTAGGCAGTCTAACAACGAGGTTAGATGTAGCCATAAAGTATATGAAAAATTACTATGCGATTCGATTCTCGAGTTGTGCTTTGTACATATCCTGGAGGCGAGGTATGTTAGATATACGGGTATTGGTGACATCACGTGTCGATCCTAGACGTATGCTGGGGTCGGGATGTGACACTAATAGGATACTATCTAATGATAAGATATGGTAGAATCTCATAAGGATTTCTTAGGATTTACACAATTACATTCCTAAACTATTAGGACTGCAACAGTTTTTAATTTTTGTGTAACTAATTATGGGGTATATTTGTCTCTATGAAGGTGATTAGAAAGTACATTAAAATCTCATGGGATGTTAGTGTTATTTCTCAAACATGAGAAGGTTTTGTAAAAACACGATAAACTTCAGGGTTGTTAATGTAATTAACCCGTCATATGTACTGTTGAAAAGTTTAATTCAAAATGAATTAAATTATATGATCATTGCGTTTTTAATATGAAGAGATACAACTATTAATTCTTAGAGAAAAAACGCAAGTACTTTTTCAAATGGTCACTTCCGCATCTATATAAAGGTCTCTTTTTATTATATCATGAGCCAATGATCCCATTTAATCCAGTCACACTGTCCCATGTGAGTTATTTCATTTAGAGATTAAGTGAGTCTTTGAGAGAGTTCTACTCAATCAACTCAATCGTAATTGAAGACGTGGTTATTGTATCGTGTGAAACAAGCACTGATCAACCATGAATATCATGATAAAACATAAATTATCTTAAGGAGAATGAACCAGATTCTTAACTCGACTTTCTTTTTAAAATTAACTTCATGTGCATTTTATAAATGAGTATGTATTGAATTCTTGCATTTGATAACATAAATTATATATTTTATGATTTATGGTATGATTAAATATACCATTGATACCAAATACATCATTATCATTTTGGAAAATTCTAAAGTATACCTTACCAATTGCTTTCAATACCTAGCTAAGCTTCAATTTGTTTGACAATATGAATAATACTGCTCAAAATAATACTGCAAGCTTTCCAATTTCAATTTTAAAGATAAGAGACAAACATTTCAGAAAATTCAAAGTCTTGCCAGACAAAGACTTCAACACAAAGTGCAAGACAATTCAACAAAGACTTCAACACAAAGTGTAAGAAAATTCAAAGTCTTCCCAGACAAAGACTTCAACAGAAGGTGCAAGAAAATTCAAAGTCTTCTCCCAGACAAAGACTTCAACACAAAGTGTAAAAAAAATTCAAAGTCTTCCTAGGCAAAGATTTCAACACAAAGTGTAAAAAAAATTCAAAGTCTTCCTAGACAAAGATTTCAACACAAAGTGTAAAAAAATTCAAAGTCTTCCCAGACAAAGACTTCAACACAAGGTGTAAGAAAATTCAAAGTCTTCCCAGACAAAGACTTCAACATATATATTAGAATTAAGAAAGAAACGTGAAATGGACCAACATGATCCTCTCCGAATCCTTTTGGTAAGCATTATGGAGATTCGTAAATTGTGTATGTTCATCGTATATTGTGCAATCAGTTTTTGTCCAGGATTATTTGTATACAAAAATATTTAAAATAATTTATGGCCACACGATGTACGATGAATGGATATGATTCACGAATTTTCAGAATACTCATAAAAAGGATCCGGCGAGGATTCAAATTCTGAAATGGAAATCCCACGTTCATGTGTTGACCATTTTTGTTTTGGAAACTCTTTTCTTATTTTCACTTGTATCATGCGGTTTCTAGATTGTTGTCCTCCTTGACTACTGACTCAGGCCCTTTCCTTCTAATTACATTTTAATTTGCGTGGTGGTAGCTTTTATCCTAAAATTTGACATAATTTTAAATAAAATAAAAAACCTCAAAAATTCAGTAGAAGTTCAAGGTTTCTCCCATTTTCTTCAAGTTTTTGTGATGTTTTCCTCTATGAAATGAAAGTCTATAGTTTTTTCTCAAAAATAAAAAATAAAAAATAACAAAAACTTAAAATTTAAAGATATCATAGGCTTGTAATTTTAAATAAACCATTTGGATGAAAAGTCAAAGATAAGAAAAACAAATAGAGGATATTCAATTTAGTGATGCATCTCACTATAAGTAAAGCCCTGAATGGCTTAAAAAAAAGGCGTGCAGAAACAACCATGACTAGAGTTTTCACTTATTGTGATAAACTACGCTTTCTAGCCTGCCTTATCTTGTATTTTCAGCTAGCTTCGTCACAAAAAAGTGCTTTTGCTTCTGCCAATTCCACTGAAGTAGAAGCACTTCTCAAATGGAAGGCTAGCTTTCAAAACCAAACCCAAAACAACCTGACCTCATGGATTAATGCAAATGAAGCCCCATGCAATAATTGGATTGGCGTTTCATGCAACTCAGCTGGAAGCGTCAACAAATTAAACCTCACCAATTCTGGTATACAAGGTACTCTACTTGAATTTCCATTCATATCCTTGTCTAATCTCTCATACGTTGATCTAAGCCTCAATAAACTTTTTGATCAAATCCCACCTCAAATCGGTTCCCTCACCAAACTCATCTATTTTGATGTATCTTACAATCAAATGTCTGGAAAAATCCCACCCGAAATTGGTCTTCTAACAAATCTTCAAGTCCTTCACCTCAATGCAAATAAGTTCAATGGCACAATTCCTCAAGAAATAGGCCAACTTAAATTTGTCTATGAGCTAGCTCTAAACTTAAACAATTTAGAGGGTTCAATTCCAACTTCTGTGGGTAATTTGAGCCAATTGACTTCTTTGTTTCTCTTTGGAAACCAACTTTCTGGTTCTATTCCTCCCGAAATAGGAAACCTTTCGAACTTGGTTAAACTTTACCTATTTGACACCTATGTATCAGGTCCAATCCCTTTGAGTTTCGGAAACCTGAAAAATCTAACCATCTTGATGTTGTACAACAATACCCTTTCTGGTTCTATCCCAACTTCTTTTGGCAATTTGACAAACCTTGTTTATCTCTCTGTCTACAGTAATAAACTTTCCGGCACTATTCCCGAAGAGATTGGAAACTTGAAATTTGTTGAGCATGTACACCTAGCTGCTAACCGATTTTCTGGTTATTTGCCTCGTGATATTTGTAGTGGTGGATTGCTACAAAGGTTTACTGCAGAAAACAACGAATTTACAGGTCCAATCCCGAAAAGCTTGAAAGGTTGCAAGAGCTTAGTCAGAGTTCGTCTTCAAGGGAACCAACTCAAAAGCAACATATCTGAAGACTTTGGTGTCTATCCGAATCTTCAGTTTGTAGACCTAAGCAACAACAACTTATATGGGGAAATCTCAAACATCTGGGGACAGTGTCCAAACTTAACAACCCTACGTTTTGCGGGGAACAACCTTACTGGTAGCATACCATCTGAGATTGCCAATGCAACTAAAATTCAAGAACTCGATTTTTCTTCGAATCATCTGGTTGGGGTGGTTCCCAAGGATTTGGGGAGATTGACTACTTTGGTGAATCTAAAGTTGAATGGCAATCAACTTTTGGGTTCTATACCCTCAGAATTTGGAGCATTCACTCAACTCGAATATCTTGACTTGTCCACCAACAAGTTGAATGGCTCAATTCCAAGCATTTTTGGCGAATTGGTCAGTTTAAACTACTTGAATTTCAGCAACAACAATTTCAGTCAAGAAATTCCATTTCAGTTGGGGAAGTTATTTCACCTGTCACAGTTAGATTTAAGTCGTAACTCACTTGACGGAAAGATACCATCAGAAATTAGCAATATGCAGAGCTTGGAGGGGCTGAATCTTTCCCACAATAATCTTTCCGGTCTCATTCCAGCAACGTTTGATGGAATGCGTGGCTTGTCGTACATGGACGTATCCTACAATCACTTGCAAGGTCCCATCCCCAACAACAAAGCATTTCAAGATGCTCACAACTTTGAAGGGAATGAAGGATTGTGTGGAAATGTTGTAGGTCTAGAATCCTGCAATAAACACGTCTCAAAAAGAAAAAGCAAAAGAAAACTCATGTTTGCAATCATTTTCCCCATCTTGGGAGCAGTTTTACTTGCTCTCCTTGTAATTGTCTTCATCAAAACAAGAAGAAAGAAAGAGCCAGGAACAGAAAAGAGTGATATCCATGATGAATTTTTTTCAATCTCTCATTTTGATGGAAAAAAATTGTATGGAGAGATCATAAGAGCAACCAATGGTTTTGACTCCATATTTTGCATTGGGAAGGGAGGATCTGGAAGTGTCTACAAGGCAAAGCTACCATCAGGCAGCATAGTTGCAGTGAAGAAACTCCATCAAAAACTTGACGGCGAGGAGACATCGCAGAAGGAGTTCCACAATGAAATAAGTGCACTAATCAATATACGACATCGAAACATTGTGAAACTTTGTGGTTTTTGTTCGAATTCGCAGCACTCCTTTCTGGTCTATGAATACCTAGAAAAGGGTAGTCTGGCTTCAATCTTGAGCAAAGAAGACGAAGCAAAAGAATTGGATTGGAGTAGGAGGGTGAGAATTGTAAAGGGCGTAGCTCATGCAGTGTCTTACCTGCATCATGATTGCGTGCTGCCAATTGTACACCGAGACTTATCAAGCAACAACATTTTGCTGGATTACGACTACGAGCCTTGTGTTTCAGACTTCGGCACTGCTAAGCTTTTGAATCCAGACTCATCGAATTGGTGCTCCCTTGCAGGCACATATGGATATGTAGCACCAGGTAAAGTTAAAATATATAATGTTGAATTTGATAATATAAATTTAAACATATACTAATGGCTTGCTCTCCGTTAATTTTTATGCAGAGTTAGCCTACACAATAAAGGTAACCGAGAAATGTGATGTTTATAGCTTCGGAGTGCTGGCACTGGAAGTGATCACGGGAAAAAGACTAGGTGATTTAATCTCGTCCTTTTCATCTCCATCTGCACGTGAAAACAAATTGTTGAAGGACGTATTGGACCAACGGCTTCCACCTCCTACACTTGAAGTTGAAGATGAACTGACAACCATTGCAAGGGTAGCCATCACATGCAAGGATTCGCGACCGCAATCGAGGCCAACAATGCGCATGGTTTCTCAGTCGTTATCATTCCAAATTGCAGCTTCCACTGGAGGACCAGACATCACACTTGAACAACTCATTAAGATTTAAATTGCGTTTGATATTGTTTGAGTTGGCACGAAATTCAGATCATCTTGTTTAAATATATCATATATGTACTCTGTTATATTTGTAGTTAAATTAAGAATAAGAGAGGAGTGCTAGCTGGACTTGCTCAATAGCAAGTCCCACATGTATTACCACTTAAATGGTTAGACCAAAATATCCTATTTAGTATGTACTCTATAATATTTGTGGTCCAACTATTCTCTGCGCCTTTTTATTTCCAATTTTTGTTAGATTGTTAATTTGTTATATTTGATTATGATCACTAGAATTTGGTTGGTTCGTTAAGAAGGTTAACTGGAGGTGCTGGTTCCTTTGTTTCCAGTAATAATGAGGTCCCGTGTTCAAACTAGTCTCTACGCCTTTTTCTTTCCAATTTTTTTCTAATTTTTGTTTGATTGTTAATTTGTTTTACCTTTGATTATAACTGCTAAAATTTAGTTAATTCATCAAGATGGTTAACTAACGGCACAAGTTTTTTATATTCATTCTAATTCAACTTTAACCTTCAACAAAATAATGTATGTATGTCTTTACCAATTTAATTTGGCAAGCACTAAGATTATTCAAAAAATGAGATCACTTTTAGGCAGTTGCAAAAATTGGAACTTTCTCTACCAAATCTACAAGGCTTTTGCTCAAAAAATTACATTGTCAAAGTCCCGTGCCTAGACACTTTAGACGTCAAGTATTGCTCGATTGAGTTTAGGATTTCTCCCGATAGATTACTCCTAAGTGATTCAGAACATGAACACCACAACTAACAGAAGCAGATGAAGATGATGAAGATGCAAAAGAAAAATAAGATGCAGAAAAGAAGAGAACGAAGCAAATACTCATCTATTAGGTGGCTTGTTTAAGTTTCGCTGCTATGTGTTTTGTCTGCTTGGATTGTTAGTTTGCTTTTTCTTTTTGTGTGGAGGAAGAGAGAAAAAGTTACACATAAAAAGGGTAGTCTGGTCTATGAATACCTAGAAAAAGGGTAGTCTGGCTTCAATCTTGAGCAAAGAAGACGAAGCAAAAGAATTGGATTGGAGTAGGAGGGTGAGAATTGTAAAAGGCGTAGCTCAAGCACTGTCTTACCTGCATAATGTGTGCCACCAATTGTACACCAAGACTTATCAAGCAGCAACATTTTGCTAGATTACGACTACGAGCCTTGTGTTTCAAACTTTGGCACTGCTAAGCTTTTAAATCCAAACTCATCGAATTGGAGCTCCCTTGCAGGCACATATGGATGTGTAGCACCAAGTGAAGTAAAACTGCTAAAATACATAATGTTGAATTTGATAATATAAAGTTAAACAAATACTAATGCCTTGTTGTCCCTTAATTTTTATGCAAAGTTGGCCGACACAATGAAGGTAACTGAGAAATGTGACGTGTATAGCTTTGGAGTGTTGGCACTAGAAGTGATCATGGGAAAGAGACTAGGTGATTTAATCTTGTCATTTTCTTCTCCATCCGATTGTGAAAACAAATTGTTGAAGGTTGTATTGGACCAATGATTTCCACCTCCTCCCCGTGAAGTTGAAGAACTAACAACCATTGCAAGGGTAGCAATTGCATGCAGGCATTCGCAACCACAATCGAGGCCAACAATGCACATGGTTTCTCAGTCATTACCATTTCAAGTTGCAGCTTCCATTGGAGGACTAGACATCACACTTCAACAAATCATTAGGATTTAAATTGCGTTTGACATTGTTTGAGTTGGTACAAAAGTCAGATCATCTTGTTTAAATATATCATATATGTATTAGGTTATATTTGTAAGTAAATTGAGAACAAGAGAGGAGTGCTAGTTGGACTCGCTCAACAGCGATCCCACATATAGTACCACTTAAATGGTTAACCCAAAGTATCCTATTTAGTATTTACTAGAAATTGGTGCATGCACGTTGCTGAATGATTAAAAATTATATGAAAGATATAAAAAACCTATCATTTGATACTATTTATATTGAAACAGTTATGAGATTTTTACATACAAAAGATTATACAGTCTACATATAGAAGATCATATATTTTTTCTATCTACATGCAAAAAAAATTAGATGGAGATATACAAAAGATAACGAAATGTTGGGGTTATTTACATAACAAAAATATCAAGGAATATTGTTTTATTTACATTAATAAAATATGACAAAAATTGTTCACTGGAACACCAAAAATCTCTCAGCAGTACTCTCATTGCCAAGAAAACAGCCTAGGCAAGGGGAAACAAATTAATTATTAAAATACTTGCAATGAATTTTGACATCAACAGATTTATATTGTATAAAAAATAAGGATAAAGTATTGTTACTTCGTGTCTTATTGGTGGAAAGGAATCTGGGACTTTGGTTTGGAGGGTCTGTTGCCTGAAGGGTTCTTGTAGAGGATCACTGACAGGGGCAAGGTGGTCAAGTCATGGGCTCCGAAGGCAGCAGTGTTGAAGAAGGAATCGGCGGTTTGTGACACATTGTGGCTGGATCTCGGTGCTCGAAGCAGTGGTTTCCGGGATACCATTGATTGCATGGCCACTGCATGCAGAGCACCATCTGAACAGAAATGTTCTGGTGAGGGACATGGTAATGGCGATAAGGGTGGAAGAGAGATAGAGGAGGATGGGTTTGTGAGCGGGGAAGAATTGGAGAGGAAAGTGAGGGAGTTGATGGAGTTGGAAAGGAGCAAGAAAACTGGAGAGATGGCAATGGCTGCTTTAGGAGAGACTGGTTCGTCGACTAGAAACTTGGTTAACTTTGTTAATAGCATTGGATAAGCAATTTTGGAATCTGCATTTGGATTAAATCTCAGAATAAAGATGCGAACTTAGAAGACAGCTATTTGTAGATCTACTACACAAAAGTTACAGTTCGCTAAGAAGGATAGGTTCTTCCATTACTGCATTTACCGTCTTCATCATATCATGTGCTGTGAATCCATCATGCTTAGCGTAAAACAGGTGCAGCACTTTGCTCATGTTCCAAAACAAATCTTTGCAAGCTCTCGGAACTACGCTACCCTTCTCGAGCAAAACTAATCTTAGCAATTCTCTCCTCTTGCTGACTATTACATTCTTCATCTCGTTAATGGCCTCTTCCTCGGTAACACCGTTGCCATGAATCATGGCCAAGGACACAGCATTTAGCTTCCCTTCTGCAGATTCCCTCTGCAACGTAGACAAGAGTTAAGAGTTAACAATTTTAGATGGGATATTATACTTTTATAGAAGGAGAATGGGGGGACGTTGTCTACCTTAAACCCTTGGATATCATTGAGAAGGCGCCCAGCAGTGCTCATGAGTCGATACAGATGATCAAATTCGGAACTTCCTACAGCCTCCTCTGAAAGCTTAGGCCCAACCAAATAGAGAGCTGGAAGGACAATCGGTCCCAAGGCAAATGATACATATGCATTTTCCATATACTCCTCCATTGTTGGAACTGACTTATTTCTCAACCATTCGGCTTCCTTGAACATAGACTTGATCAAATCCAACCACTGGAAAATCAAACATAGCTCATTTCATCCCTTTACTCACTTTTCGTGAAGTCAATGAATAGAAAACTCAAATAACGGTCTTATCATCGACCAGACAGTCACGATAAAGTACCATCAGAATCAATGTTATGGGAGTGTTCGGGTTATTGTAAGACACTTCGTGAAAGTGAAGTAGTTGAAACATTTTAAGTCGTTCAGGAGACAGCTAGTGCTTTAAGAAAAACATTTTATCATATTAATCGAAACAACAATGACAAGGACAAATTAAAGTATTTCAACTTACAATCTCTATCACATGACTTGTCACACTGCGTCCTTGCCGCGTGAATGCCCTGGCTCCAATCTCATTGATTGTGTTCTTGAGTGCTGAAAATATAATTTCAACATTCTCGGAACAACAATCAACACCCACATTCACATCCCACCTGAAGCCCAAATGCATGAAAATTTAAGACCTTGATGCCAGAAACAACTAACAAGGACTAGGAGCACAAGCAGGAATTGTTGCCCAATAATGGATCCAACAGAAACAAGAAACAAATGGGAAAAGGAAACATACTTCTCAACCAATTGTATGAGGTTTATCAGTTCCTCTTCGGAACCTCCAACGTCAAAGAAATCATCGACCACAGTCGTAAGGACTCCATTTTTGGCCCATGATATGCGTGCATCTGATAGTTCAGGAGGAAAAAGGGTTGCAGCAGCAGAGAAGTAACAGTATGCCTGCTTCTGTCTGGCAAAGTTTAGCTTGTCTAATCTGTACTCCTCAACCCACCTGCTTAGGTAAAATCACAAACAAATAAATTAGAATATTCTGCACTTCCTTATACAACTGCACTCTCCTTCACTAATATTATATCAAGATCAGGTGGAAACACTAGTAACAAGAAGCTCAGCTTGGGAGAGAGAGTACTGTACATACCTAGTAAGATGGCTGAGTTCTTCACGGTGTATCGATTGGCAATTATTGAAGTCATCCACAGCCAGCTTTAGGAAATCTTCATTTCCAATATTCAAACAACTAACATAAGACGAGCGCAAGGAATAATAAGTTATATGCACTGGTCCTTCAGAATAATTCAGATCAAATTAATTCTTCTTGAAAGGAAGGGAAAAGGAAGAAGATGAGCTGTCAAAGAAACTACTAGAAGTTTACTGATAATAAGATTTTAAAATCCTTGTACTGTCTGTGTTGTAATATTTTATAGCTGTCCTGGTTGACAACCGGCCCAGAATTGCATAGCGAGGAAGTTTAAGAGCATCATCCACCTGAAAACAATCAAAAGCTGCTTTAATTTATGAACTATCTTGGGATTATAGGAGATTAAAGACGTCAAATAAATAAGATAGGCTTAGCATAGAAAGCTACCTCTAGGCCGATATGCTTATTCAGTTTATGACCCCGAATTAAAGTATTGGATAACTCCTGCTTCAGAAAATGACTCGTCCAGTGATGTTGTTTCTCTAGAACTGATTCATCAGGATGTATGATGGTTTCTGAAGCTCTAAACAACTCTAAGGCATCATCGATGTCCTTCATACACCCTCCAAGGGAATTGAACAAACGAT